CGTGTGGCAGTGTTCCTGTCTACCACATAGGAGATCTGGGTTCAAGTCCCAGCTGAGGTGACTTGGGGTGAGTGAGCTAACAAAATCTTCTTGCACTGGAAAGGGGCCATTGTGTTTCTCCCCCTCCAGGTACCAAGGCCCTATATTTCTTAGGCTAGATATCAGGAGGCACTACTTCATGGTCAGGGCAGCTAGGATCTGGAACCAACTTCCAAGAGAAGTGGTGCTGGCTTCTACCCTGGGGGTCTTTAAGAGGAGATTAGATGTACACCTTGCTGGGGTCGTTTGAGCCCAGTACTCTTTCCTGCCATGGCAGGGGGTCGGACTAGACGATCTACTCAGGTCCCTTCCGACCCTAGAAACTATGAAACTATCTCTAGGTAGGAACCTGGATGAGATGCCACTCCATGTGACTGTAACACAAGCCTGGGGAGCTATGTTCCTGCCTGAGCAGCTAACTCACGGTCTGACTTTGAGTAGGCCACTGCTCTGGTCTGCACCTCAGGTATCTCAGCCATACAACAGGGATAACTGTCCTCCTGGAGCTCATGGTTACTGTGAGGCATAAGATTTGTGAAGTTCTGTGCACTGAAGGAGCTGCAGAAGTGCCAAGTAGTACTGTAATAAAGCGCTGAGCTGTGCACATTTGCTTATCTTGTCTATTTGTTATAAATTACTGGGAATAGTTAAGTAATGCCCCTGTCTCAATCAACAGCCCTTTGGGTAATTAACTGGAGTAACAGCAATTACATTCATGGTGGTGTCAGATGGTGTGTGGCATCATTTCTGGTGTGATTCAGCACTGATGAGTTGGTATGTAATTTAAAGTGCTGCTGTTGAGGAACTTTCTATTTGGCAGAGTGAGTTACCCACCTCTCCAGCTCAGAAGGTTGTGTAATGATAACAACAGCTAGTTTTCTTTGCCAACTGTTCGCAGCACAGTTAAGGAACAGCAGTGACTGATACCTCTCATGGAAGAAACCTGCTTTACTGCTGTCTGCACCAGGTGGGTTTTAACTCTCCAGAGTCGGTGAGGATTTTTTATAATCTTTCTTCCTCCAAAAATTTGAAGGTAAAATTATCCTGTTTGCTCCACACTGCAGGAAATAGTGCAGTGTATTTCAACAACGCTACATTTCAATAAAAGAGATTTATCTTTGCTGCATGTTCAGCCTAGCGGTGTGGTTCAATATTTAAGGCATCAGTCTAAGAACAAAGGAGACCTAGTTTCTGTTCCTAGCTCTGCTTTGCAACTTTAGTTAAATAATTTAATCTCATTGTGCCTCAGGGTCACATCCGTAAAATGGGTCCCCATGTCTGTGAAGTACTCTAGTGCAGCATTTCTCAGCCTGTCGGTCGTGACCCAAAAGTGGGTCACAAGAATATATGAAAGGGTTGCTAACAAACTTTAAAAATGGATTCTCCTTTAAGAGAAAAACATGGGAAACTGTGGGCTTTCGTTTGCAGGCTATCAGAGTTCCAGCTCAGGAACCAGATCTCTGTGTCTGCCCTTTCCCAGGAGAATTTAGTGAGGCAAATTGTGTACAGGCATGTTGGTACATGGATTACATGTGTTAAGATACCTGCACACCCATCCCCTGCCCCACACACTGGGGGGCTGAGGCCTGAGGGCAGTGGGTCAGGAGTGAGGGGCACTGAGTTGGGACTGGCCATCAATGTTTACAAATGGGTCCTGGTACAAAAAAGGTTGAGAACCAATGCACTAACATGAGCAGTATGTGTCAGGACACAGGAAGAGCTAGCTCAGAGCCAACTGGATTGATCTTTTGCAAATGTAGTGTTGTTTCATTTCTTCCTGTGTGAGCAGTCCCTATTGTCACTTCTCTTTCTGAACTTGGTCCTCTCGGGAGGGTAGAGCCAACCTAAACATGTTTGTCTGCCCTCCCAGATGCCATACAGATTTACTGGGACATTTTTAGTGGGTCTGCTTCATTTTCCCAAGGGCATGCTGCATTGACATGTGCATGTAGGCTGGTTAGAAATATTTCCAGCTCAGTTCTCAGACATCATGTGGTGTTCACATGTACCAATAAGCATATGCATGAAACATAACAGGCCAGCTGAAAGTTGGGCATAATGATTGTATAAATACGTTGTTGGCATTATGTGTGTGAGTCCTGGGACAAAGTCTCTATTGCCCTCACTGGGCATGTCTACATATTCATTAATGTGTTGTGGTTACTGCGTATTAAGTTTAGTACCTGTAGTAACACTGGCATTAGCAGTACTGCACAGTAGCACCAGTGCACCCCTTTTAAATGATGCTAATGTACAGTAGACTAATTCTACTGTGCATTAGCACAATAGCACAGTTTTTGCCATGACATGCTAATGCGCAATTGAATTAACCTACTGCACATTTAGCATTGCATGTAGATGCTCCCCTATGTGACAGTGAGGCCTCTGAGCTCAAGCTAAAATTCTCTGGGTTTAACTGCAAAATGCCTATAATATTTAACTGAAAATCTCTGGGCTCCCACTCTCCCCCACTACCTCCATTGTCAGACAGAGCCTGAATCTATTAACCATGTGGGCAATTTGTTGATCGCAAAGCTAATCTATTTTACCTGGTGTATTATCTGGAGGGCTTGGACCAACTGAGGTGGTATGGAAAGCGGTTTATATTTACGCTGGCAAACCCACATAATTTTGGTTGGTATTTTTTTAAAGCCAACTGCTCTTGCTGCCACTTAAGTCCTTATGAACAGAGATGGGACCTGAGCTTTGGGGAAACACTTTTTTTATAAGCAAAATGGACTGTTATCTCCCCTGGCTGAGGTCTAATGAATGTACTGCAGAATTAATGCTTTAAATCCAAATAAACAGTAACAAAGTGAACTACTGAAACACACTTTGGAGGAGGAGACTATATGGGTGACGTGAGTAGAGAGGGAAGAGGAAACCCTGGCTCCTCAGAAGACTAAAGAAACATTTAAAAGGTCCAAATTGAATCACAGAATCATAGAGAAGCAGAGCTGGAAGCAGAGCTCCAAAGGTTTTCTAGTCCAGACTCCTGCATAAGCTTGGATCATCCCTATCCACACCATCCTAAACAAATCCTTTATGTAACTTATTAACAAAACTGCAGAGTCAACCCTGACACAGCCAAAAGACATAACACCCTCCCCTAATCAGCCACAAATAAGGCAGGGGGACCACAGTGGCCAATGTCTTGGTGCTGCAAAAGTTGTTAAAATACAGTAGAGAGATCCAAGGAAGAGGGCATTTGGCTGAAGACCAGTTGCACAAATTATAGCAGGGAAGAGAGTGCTTGGATTAAGATACCTCCTTAGTATGCCACTGCTAAAGGGAGCACACACTCCTGCCCATGCTTCCTGGAGTGATTTTTAGACTCTGCATCAGGGGTTGGCAACCTAGACCTACAAAGTGATTTTATCCCACTCTCCAAACAAGTTGGTGCAAGAACACGCCATCTAGTGGCCACCTCCCTTACCTGCCACCCCCAGCCCAAGGAGGACCAAGTTGTGTTAATTCAGCCTGCTCTTACTGAAAGGTTGCCAGCCTCCTGCACTACACTACAAAATGCAGGGGACCTATGACTGTTCATAGCAAGTCTAACTTGCAGTCTATCTAGCTATGTCTTTGTGTTTGCTGTGCACTGCCTCTTTAAAACTTGAAGAAGCCTGCTATCTACATGGCCAGGCTGCCATTTTGTATTCAATCCACTACAGGCTATCATAGACAAGAGGCACAGCCGTGGTGTGCTCCCTCACTGATATCTGTTCTCTTTGCAGCAAAGTCTGTTCTAACTAAAAGTATGGGTTTGCTTTCAATGTCTGAAAAGATGTAATACAATTTGAATGCAAGCAATTATCAGGAAGGGACAGCTAGACTGAAAGCTCTTGGGAGATGGGATGCTTTCCTCTAGCCCCTTCCCCCCTACCTTTCCACTGAAGACATGAAGGTGCATGCATGCATGTGTGTGTGTGAGAGAGAGACAGGAAGAGAGTGAGTCAGTGACAGAGTCTTACAGATTGATGCATGTCCACCATATTTTGGTGCACCTCCATTAAGGCTACGGGGTTATTTTAATTAATTTGCTAAAAAGACTAGTTCTCCCTGGGTGAGAATGGCAGCATCATTGTGCACCATGCCCTTGAACAGCCTGTCTTGTCTCTCCAGAGTGGAAAGTAACCTGGCCAACACAGTTCCATGCATTTCTTACAATGCACTCACCATGAGCGTGATATGCAGAAGTGCTGAATCCTCACAGCACCTCTGAAAATCAAGCCATGTAGCCTCTTGCGAATTCCATCCCGGTGTGCGTAACTAAAGGGCCTGGGGAAAGAAGTTCTTTTCTTTAGCCAACACACAGACACAGCATAGGCAGTAATGCAAGCTTCATTGTACTAATGGTCTCTTGACTGGGACTGCTAACATGATGCCCAATGAATGCCATCTGTTGTAGATGTCTTTGAAATCCAGGCACTTGCCCATGGGGGAGTGGACCAAGACTGCCCCCTCTTTCAGCACAGGCCACAAGACACACAGTATAATAATTTCCAAAATACAATGATATTTATCAGCAAGTCTCTTTCAGCGGCAGGGGCAGGGGCTGGGGCAGGTGCAGGTGCAGGAGGGCCATTTTATTCCCTGTAAATTCCAGGTTCAGCCAGAAGCTATAGACAGCACATAACCTCCCCCAGCCCACCCCCAGCACAAAGCACGGACCACATGATTGAATACCAGTCCTTTGCAAGTATCAGTCTGGCACTGGCTGGCAGTAGATTCTGCCTCTTCTAGGCTTTCAGCAGGTAGGAGGGCAGGATGTATTCCCAGCCTGAGTCCCCTTAGCAGTTAAGTAGGATTTACAGCAAGCAAAATCTCAGGACATCTGCAATGACAGAGCTTCAGTGAGCATCATAAACACACGCACACACACACAGAGCAGGAAAAAGGCTGAGTAGCACCCTTTTGCTACCACAAAGCAGTCAAGAAAGAGCTCTCAGGAAACAAGGTACCATTCGGCTTTTGCTTTTACATACTGTACAAAGATCTATAAATAGCTCCTTGGCATTGATATTCACAGCTGGGTTGCTTCAATGGTGAATTATAAAGGAGGCAAAATGTCTCCAGCTGCTTCCCAACCTGCAGATGAAGAAAGCAGAGTCCCCAGCTACCAGATCTCTTGTCCCGGCAGCCTGCCCAAGTGCCCTCTTCCTCGGCGACGTCTCACTCTAGCAATGCTCTCCTCCCTCCTCCGGATCGGTTGCCCATCATGACACGTTGCCTGTGCCAGTCCTAACCTGCGCCGCGTTTTGCTTCACCTCCGGTTCTAAAAGGGATCAGTGCAGGTCCCCATCTGTTGCTCTGCACCGCCGCTCCGCTGAACAGACAGACGTGTTGGTAAAAAAAGAAAAGGAAAGGAAAAAGAAAAATGAAAATGAAAAAGGTCCTTGTGCCCACAGCTGCCAAACGAAACCTGGAAACCTCTTGTCGTGTTCCTTGGAACACGCTTGTCCCAGCCATTACAGCTGCTGTGGGATCCCCTGTTCCTTGTAGCCTGTGAGGGGGAGGGAAGGGAACACGATTAAAATGTTTTGTGGTTCAAAGCTTTGGCAAGCTTTACACAAGTGCTAAGTCCTGAGCCTGCCCTGCTTCACAGCAGCTTCTGAGATAGGCTTGGATGGCCATCATGTTGGCCAGATGAAAGGAGTACTTGGCTTAAGAGTATGCACACAAGAGACATGCTGATGTGACCCATTTGGAGGTGATGCAAATACTGACCGATGTGATTCCCAAGTTCTACCCAGAAACTGGAAGTGGCTTGACCTGAATTGTTGCTCCTGCAGCTATGGTTGCATTAGGGAGGGCTGGGAGGCACAGTTTGTTGTATGCACAGCTAGCTGTAGGGCAAAAGCATGGTGTGGAGCACCAGCTGTGATTCCCTTCTGTGGTGCTCTGAGAGCATTATGGTTGAAGACAGGGCCTGAGGACCCATTCAGACTCCTGTCCTGCCAAGCTAAACTCTCCTTTTGCTATGTGTTTTAGGCTCCTTCTAGTCCTCCCTTAAAATCCACCTCTGTTATGACTTCTACAAAAACTCTTGGCAATGATTAGGTGTGCTGGCAGCGCTGTTTATTAGAATGATCGTCATCATCTCTCTGTTACCTTGGGCTTTCTCATCTGTTTGTGGTAGCTGCCAGCAACTGCTCATGATAAATGCAGACTTTACACTCTTTGGGACAGGCCCTGTCTTATATTTTTATGACTGTAGAGCAGCAGCCAGCAACCTTTTACTGGTAGGGTCTAACTTAGCTCCTAGGCAAACCAGTTAACTAGGATGCAGTTGCCATTGCTGGCACCTGGCTCAGCACAGGGAGCTTCCAGTCGCCTGACTGAGATGCTTGCTGCTCATCCACTACTGCTTCCCAGTGGCTCTGTGAGCTGGGCTGTAGGTTGCCAACCTTTGCTGTAGAGTATCTTGCATAGTGGGGCCCTGACAGGGGCATCTAGGAGCTACAGGTAATGCTGAAGATGATTTTTTGGATGACTAGTTCATTGGCTAAAAAAAAATACACAGTTTGGAGGCTCTTAAAATCATTTGTGAATACAGACTGAATTTGGCCAAGTGTTTCTGTGACAAAACAAAGAATAAGGACATTTTGGAAGAGTCAAGCTGCCAGGAAGCCATCAAGCCAGGAAATCAGTTCCTCGCCCAGTTCTGAACCTAAGTGGTCAGAATGGCACCTCTTTCACTGCACAAGCCATGGTGCTTGGGGAAAGCAAATGTCAGCACCCTGCCCACGTCATGGAAGCTCACTGAAAGAGGGAACAACCCTCAGAGCAACAACCTCTGGATCTTTAAAACAGATTTCCCAGTGGCAAACTCACTGGTTGTTCACGAAGGGATCACAGAAGTGGGTCTATACGTGAGGAATCAGCCTTCCCCAAATTTTGCTTTGAGTTTGGGAATGGAACCCATTGTGAAACTTAGCTGAACCCACGTAGTTTTGAGTGGTTTTCATCCAAAGTCACAGATCAAGCCAGGCTTGGCTAAATCTTGGCTTCCAGCAGCTCACTGAAAGCTCTGTGAACTTCTGCTTTCTTTCTAGGAAGCCTGTATCAAGTGCAGGCTTTGGAAGGAAGCCAGGTGAATATCCCCAGTGTTTACAATGAAGGGTTTGCACAGCTCTAATTTTCAAACAGTGACTCTCTCAGCAGATTTTCCCTTTGAGATAATGAATATCATCCAGAGCACGGTTGGACTTCTCCATCCCATGTTTCAGGAGCCACATGCCTTATGCAGTATAGAGCACAGTTTACATCTGGGGGGCATCAATTTCTCTGGTGTTTGACAGGCCTTTTTTTCTTTTTTGGTCTTGTTAGTTTTCCCTGCACCACCACACCTACAGTACTGATTGAAGGATGTGCAGCAGCAGGTCAGCCTGGAGAGGTTGGGGTGCTGCAGAAGTGTGCAAGATAGATTAAATGTCTGCAGTGTTCTCAGTGCTAGCTGCTTGCACACTAAGAGCTTTCTGTAAATGCTAACTTTCCTGTTTGAATTATTGCGTGCATATATATATGTAGGATGAGGACACAGAATTAAGGGGAATGCAAGCTTCTGTTACCCCCAGGATGTTTCAGCAATTGCTCTTTCCAGACAATGCTGGATGGCATAAAAGCTTCAGTGGCAACTTCATGTGGGAGGCTACCAAAAATTTTATATTTTCTTTCTCTCATTTAAATTTAACAGCATCAGTTTAACTTGTATTTGTTAAACTCCACATTAGTTAAATTAATGTAACCCTTTGTGCAGATGCTTATATATTGGTTGGAAATAGTTAATCATTTCAACATGCACCTCTAAACTTACATGTGGAAAAGTAAGGTAATAGAAAACCTGATCTGTACAGGCATGTGTAATTGGTGTAATGACCTCATTAAAGAAACAAAGTTTCCTACATTTCAGTAGAAACGATTATACCAGTAAAAGCTGGCAAGTAGATGTGGTCAACAGCATAAATGAGCTTGTTATTTCTCTTCTCATACAGGAGTAGCTAGCCTGGAATGCAGCATCTTGACCTCAGTATAACTCCTGGGTTTTAGTACTTTGAGCAGATTAATACAGTTAAAACAGTACAGTTTTCTAGTATTGACGGCCTTAGTTAGGGCTACTTCAATCTGAGTGTGTCCACCCACAGAACTGCATCAATTTAATTCTATCAGTTTAACGTTGCACTTTTAGGTAAACTGAAGTTATTTTGCATGTAGGCCAGAACCCAGGAACTAAACCACACATGGGACCATTCTCTTGGGTGATTTGGAGATGCCTGCGTACACACATGTACACACACGCACATACACATACATGGAGACAAATTTTGGCAGAAAGTGAAAGCCTATTGAGGCAAGAGGTCCGTACCTGCGGCAAAGGGACATTGGCTTCAGTGGGAGTTTGTCTGAGGAGGTAAGTCAGAATTTTGTCCAGTGGAAGTTAACAGGCATATTAGAAACAAAACTTACCTTGTGAAACTTTGGTGATGGACAAAAGGAAGCAAAGGAAACATGAAAGAAAGAGAGAGGGAAAAATATAACTGTAAAGGGACTATTCAAAACATAAAGAGAACCAGAAAAGAATGAGTAAATTGAGGCTGCAGAGTAAACAGAGAACAGCTGCTCTACAATCAAACATTCACACAGTTCTAAACCGTTCTGCGACTTTATGTCTGTATTTATCTAAAATACATTTTAAGTAGCTGATTTTAGTTGGGGATTTGGGGGGGAGGAGGGGGGATTCTCAGCTGCTTGGACATGACTGGACCTGTGCCGTAGAGTTGGGAATGGCACTTCATAAACCAAGAGGTTATCTGACAAAACCTAGGGCAGTAACACAGTGAAAGCGTGTTGTGTTGGCTGAAGAGAACTGTTGAACTGAGGGCATCAGGAAGCAGAACACTATCCTTGCAGGAAGATGCACAGTGTGAATGACTGGAAAAGACAACTCCTCGGTTCTTCTGCCATTTTGGCTACTGATTTACTTGGTGCCCACAGTTAATTCTTGACCTATCTGTGCCTCAGTTTACCCATTTTGTACAAATGGGACTTAGACTAGAAGAAATGGGGTGGGACTAGATGACCTCTGAGGGCCTTTGTAACTTGGTGATCCTAGGATAGTGCCTAGCACTTGGTTAAAATGATAAAAGTTGGGTTATCGTCAATGTTGGTAAAATACTTTAGGGACCTTATAGTAGTGTTAGAGTGATGTTGCAGCTGTGACGGTCTGGGAAATACATGAGAGGCAAGGATTTGTGTGGGAAGTAGACTTTACTGGCCTAACTGCATGGTTGTAGCAGACTTGGACAAGCTTTCAAATGCAGGGCACTCTTCTTCAGGTTTCCCTCAGGTTTTAATCTTTCACTGCGCCTGCTTTCTCCTCAGACCTGAGGAAGAATGCCCTGCATTTCAAAAGCTTGTCTAAGTCTGTCCCAATTAGGCAGTTGGGCCAATAAAAGATACCGTCCACAAAAATCCTTAAGAACCTTATGTTACTGTAGCATCAATCAGGACCGATTACGAGATCTCAGAAAGGACTACTTCCACACGCTGTCCTCCGGGTGGGTAAACCGTAGAAAAATAACTATCGGTCATCCTCAACATTTATCTCCTCCCAGGAAGGCTTGTTTAGTCAGATAACTGGCCTCTGTTTTTCTATTGTGGATCTCAGAAACACCCTCCCTGTCTTAGCTTTGCTTTGACAGGATGGAGAAAAGACTTTCTAAAGTCCCCTATTATGCCCAAATACAATAGCTAGGTAATTCTTCCGTGTGGTTAGCGGGCTCTGAGCACTATAATTAGTAGAGGAGTGATGAGTGGACAGCAGGATTACAGGTATTTCCCTATTACCTGTTGGGAGTAAGTTTTTGAGAATCAGATTGCCCTCACCTATGCAGCCTGCTACAAAATAGCAGTGAGAGCCCACAGCAGCAGGAACATCAAGCATTCCTTACGTTAGGCAACATTACCCTATTTATTCACATACCACATGCCCCTGGATAAGTTGTGTACCTTGTTTTGGGCAAACAGAATGAAGAAAAGCATATTGTTCTTTGACAAAAGAGGTGGGAAGCAGCCAGAGACTTGCTTGCCATTGCAGGGGCTGCAGGTGCCAGCTGGGCAGAGCAGAAGCAGAGTCCTGCCATCAGCCTTGCTTCTTCCCCCAATTAAGACGCTGCTACTGCACCAACAATGCTAACCCTGTCACAGCTGTAGCCTAACCAAAGGCAGACCAACACCGTTAACAAAACCTTAATTAAGTAGTAGCTGTGAGGGGGTTAAGTCTGTAGCTGTTGGTTGCACAGCGGGAAGGGAAGGGAAGGGAAGGGAAGGGGAGGGGATGAGGATGAGGAGAGGAATCCTGCTGTAGCCCCAGCCCCAGCCCCAGGCCACCCAAGCCTCCAGCCCTGGTGAAAATCAATCTCCTTGTTTAAGACACACACCCCAGTTTTCCATTGCTCATTTTTTCAGCGAAGGTGGATGTGGTATGTGAACAAATAAGGTATTCTTGGCCCAGCCACATACGTTGCAAGTGGAGGATAACAGGCTGAGTGAGAGCCTCATGACAAAGGGCTTGGTAGGGCCTTTTTGCTGTGGAAGCATGTCCAGTGGGGCCTGGGGGAAACCCAAGAGCTCAGTTCACACAAACAAAGATTTAGGGGTGCATCTACTGTGTCGCCTCTACTGCTGTCATTGCACAGGCACCCCCTAGCATAGATGCAGCGGGTGATAAGAGGGATTTCTTTCCCTTGCAAGCGTAGCTAGGGCTCCTCTGCAAATGATGTAACTTAAGCTGATGCGAACACTCTACTGTTGGCATAACAGCTTCCATATTAGGGGGTTTGCTGGCATAGTTATGTCAGTTTGCCATGGCCAGCTAACAGTTTCATTTCACTGTAGGTCTGTACAATCTCCTCATGAATACAACAGATGCACAAAGACTTTAGCTCGTAAACACAGCTCAGCAGCTAGCCACATTTAAAGCAAGAAGTGGGACAAAAAGAGATGCGGTGGGGAGGTATGAAGAAAAGGAAAGACAGAATCAATAAGGTTATCAAAATGTTCCCTTCAAGCCCAGCAAACTCTTTTTGCTCTTACAGCCCAAGTAAACCAGAGGGCTGTTGCAAAAGTCACAAGGCAGGTGAGAGAAAAATACCTGCTTAGTATCTAATGAGGCCAGCTGGCAATTCATTTGAATTAAGAGACGGTGGAAAATGTCCCTTAACTGTGAAATTAGCAGCGATTATAAAACTGAGCGCAATTGATGCTGCTTCTTTGATAAAGGGCAGCATAAAAAACACAAAAGCATCCTCTAAGCTGTCTTTGTTAAACTGGTTCACCCAACGCTCTCTCCCATCCACTGGTTTTACAAAACCAGGCAGTGTTAGAACTTGCTACAGGTTCTAGCACCAGGTCCCAGACAGAAGGTCAGTCTGCCATGGTGTTACACTGAGGAACTTTGCAAAGCAGGCCCAACAACACAGCTCCATCCTCTAGGTCTAGGAATTCATGTGCAGGCAGTTCTGCAAGGTTTCCCACCCTGGTTCCTACTGCAGAAGCAGGATATTGGTACTTGTAAATATCTAAAGTCTCTGCAACTATACAGCTATTTAAGTACAAGGCTCTCAGATAAGGCAAACAGTCAAATGCTCTTCTAGTTCCTTCTGTAGCTAAGTGTCATGAGAATAAACTATGTAATCCTTCCCTGGAATAAGACTATGACCCCTCTAGTGCCTTGTCATCACACCACACTCTAGCAACCTAAATTTGTTACATCTGTACTGGCATCCAAAGCTGAAATATCAGTCACCAGTCAGGAGTGAAATGCATTGGCTATGTGATACGGTAGCTCAGGATCAGAATAGCAGACAGTCACAGTTCAAGATACAAATTACCATCATACAACTAAAGTCTGTCTAGTACATTTGTATAATAATGCTTGCACTTATCCAATAAAACTGGCACTAGTTCATCACATAAAACCCAAAAGCAAAATGCTTGGTCCGGAACAAGGACCCCGGGACTCCCTATATTCTTGTCTCACTTCATTGCTGGCCCTTCTTGTTTTGAGACATGTTATAGTTTCTGAGGCCTTTAGACCTCCACTATCTGATAGCGGATAGTGACTATCACACAATCCATGTACATGTGATCCATCTGTAGTCCTTAAGGAGCTAGGCAATTTAGTGTGAGGAAAAACAGACTAAATCTGGGTGCAATTTTTCTAACAAAACATTTTTCTTTTTCCTAAAAAAAATAAAAATGCAGATTCTAATTGACCAGACTATTTTACAAATGTGTGGTGGTTTTGGCAAGTTGCTTTAGTTCACCCGCCCCCATAAATGTGAAACATTTCATTTTGGCTCTTTTTTTTTAACAATACATTTTGATTTTTTTCTATTCAAACCCATGCTTCAGTTTGAACTTCAGTTTTATTTTAACAATTAAAATAAAAAACAAAACAGAACATTTCATTTCAGGTTGAATGACATGTTTCATTCAACCTATTCTATTTTTACTTCTTGAGTTTTTAAAATTAGTTGTTTTTTTATAATCGGCCCCAAGCAAAACACATTTTGATTTTTTATACTGCAGGTGAACTGGAAAAAAAATCATTTATTTGCACAACTGAAAAAAGGGACATTCCCATAAAAAAAGCCCATAAGAAGATCTCACAAGCCCCAGCTTGTCACACTGTCACTGGTTATTATTCTATATTTTACAGTGGAAAATACAGTTTGCTTCTAGCTTCCTTCACCCTCCTCATTCACTTGCTGAATTCTGCTGTTATGTTCTGGCACCCCTTAGCCAAACCTAATCACTTGCCACCTCCTGCTTGGCACATGTATGCTGTTCTCTGAGACAGTATCTGCCAGATCTTGAATTCACCAACAAAAGCTAAATTGGCAATGGGAGCAACTTGTAACAGATGCTGGAGAATTAATAAGAGCCTCCTGATACCCAGCCTTTCTGCCCAGTGCCTAGATGATGGGCACTATACCAACCATGCACCAGTGAGACTAGAAAGACAAATCCCCAACTTCAGGCAGGTATGTCGGTCTGAATTGATACTTTCTTGCCTTCAGCAAATCTGGAATTGTCACTAGACTAATTCAGCACTGACTGTGGCCAGCAAACGAATGGTACGTAGATAATAATCTTTATTAAATTACACAGAAAGCAGGCAGGATCTCAAGTTATATATAGGAATCACTTCACCCATCCCTGAAACATAATCACCTCTCAGGTGGAAAGTGGCATCTGTTTAATAGCTCATTGTTGTGTGATAGTAAGCCTTTTGGGGAATAGGCTATCTTTGTGTGTGTACAGTGCCAAGCACCCTGGGGCCCTGAGCCTCACAGAGGCCTTATGTATTACTGCTCTATAAATGCTACATATTAATTATTGGTTCAATATGGGCTATGCCATTAATTAAGCTGGAAGCTGAAGTTGGTATAGAATACAGTAGGCTGTTTTGT